TTAAATAAATCAAAAAGAAATAATGATCCACAGACTTCCCCAAACCACAGTGGAATTGGGGAGGAAAACATAATAGCTTTCTAATAACGAGAGAAGGTCATCTATTTTCTGAAGTACTACCTTGAAAATAGATGAAAGTTCCACTCCAAAAAATGCCCTGAGGCTGGCTCCTGTAATCCCAGCACTTTGGGAGGCTGAGGCAGGTGGATCACCTGAGGTCAGGAGTTCGAGATTAGCCTGGCCAACATGGTAAAACCCAGTATCTACTATGAATACAAAAATTAACCAGGCATGGTGGCCAGCACCTGTAATCCCAGCTACTCTGGAGGCTGAGGTGGGAGAATCACTTTTGAACCTGGAAGGTGGCAGTTGCCGTGAGCTAAGACTATACCACTGTACTCCAGCCTGGGCAATGAGCAAAATTGTCTCAATAAAAAAAAAAAAAGCCTTGATCTCTAGAAAAAAAATTAGCCCCATCTTGGAAGTTACCATAGTGTCTTCTTTCAAGAACAACAAAAAAAATACAGTAATTTTAATAAATATCCAGAAATCTCATATAACATCTTACTTCTTTTAGTCCACGACAGAATCGCTCAAATACTCGTTTCATATTGCCTCCTTTTTCCATTGAGATTACCCTGGTGTGATCCTCCTCATTTATCCAGATGAGAAATGTCTTATCATAATTATGCCTAATGAAGAGAGAAATATGGTGCTGAGTGTTAATTGCATTTGTTTCAACACATGAAAATTCCCATTACCTCCCTGGCTTGATTGCTTCATTTCACCTTTCTCATTTCCTAGATGGCCCTAATCTCTTAACTGTGCCTGAAAAAGTATGACAAAACAATGTTACCTTGACAGAAGGAAGAATAAGACCAACTGTCACCATAAAAGATGTCATGTTTTTACCCAACAGGAATATAATTCCCCCTAGGTCCTCTGACTAGGATGACAGTAATTCAACTATATAACATTGGCTTTGATACTAACAAGAATGTTTTGTCCCCTGAAAGATTCAACCAAAATCTTGTGCTTTACAAAGCGGGTGGGTTACCTTCCACCCAAGATGTTTAAGGTATACAACATTTCACACGTTTGCACCATAGATCCTGCCTGTCCATCTCTACTGAGTGGCTGCTCATGAACACCTTTATTTCCACTACTTCAGGTACATTCACTCATAATAACCTATCAGGGTACAGGAGACAAAGTGGGCTGAGGACTGTTGGCCAAGATAAAATAGATGTCAGTTCTTTCAGGGTTTTTCTTAAATCCTCAATATTTTTTATGTTTTGCTCTTTTAATGTCATGAAACAGATTCTCTGTGAGATCAAATAATATGAAGTAAATTTTTTCTTAAAAAGGTAGCCTTTTTTTTCAGGCATAATTCATGCAGACCAGGTCACATTTCTACACATCTTAGTAACATCACAATACTGAGACACACACACAATTTTTAAGGCATGCTCTCAACTGCAGTACACAGCAACTCCAGGTTAGGATAAGCAGGTGATCTCAAAAAAATCCTCTACAGATACTGCAAATGTGAAAATGCTACATCCATACCAGATTCCCCTGGCATCTGGCCAGTCACGGGCCATTCCAGCACATGTTAATAAAGGGGACACTGGCTTATCAAACAGAAAGTGGTCCTGTAGGTCAAAAGGAATAAAGCAGAGAGGAGAGACTGATGAGATCAAGCAGGACTGCAAGTGGCAGGTGAACAAGTTCCAACTCAATTCTAATGGCTGCTGTCTCTTAGGTGGTGGTTCTTAGCCTTGGCTGCTCACTAGAATAACCTAGGAGCTTAAACAAACTAATGCCTACTTCCCATCCCCAGAGATTCTGACCTCGTTGTTCTAGACTGTGTCTGGGCATCAGGTTTTTTTTAAAAGACTCTTTCAGGTGATTTTAGTGTGCAGCTAATGTTGGAAAACACTGGTTTAGTCCATATGGAACTCAGTAAATCACTATGGAGTGGGTATACACTACCAACACCAACCCTATGCAATGGCTGAATGAGCAATGAATGAGGGGCGCTGTCCTGAAAAGGCTTTTGTAAACAGTGGTCATTCTCTGTTTCTAGCATTATTGCTTCATGTATTATTATTTCTTCCATTAAAAAGTATTAGAGATGTACAGTAATGATCAATAAATTAAAATAGCCACCATTAATACTGTGCCAGGCTCTAAATCATAGGCTTGTATTTCCTTTAATCTTCACAACTCTATGAAATAAGTATTATTCTATTTTATAAATAAGGAAAACAGATTCAGAGAGGTCATACAACTTGTCCAATAGGGTGATTGTAGGAAGCGGCAGAATATAGATTTAAGTATAGACTTTATGACTCCCAGCCTTGTGCTTAACCACTGGAATGTACTTACTCCACGTATCAAAGTTGAGACTAACTTTTTTTTGCAGTGTGTATACAACTATTTCTTATATAGCTACACACGTACTCTACAGTGGGATATATGGAAACTATATATTCAAATATGATTACACTGAGGTAAGAAACCAAGTGGATGTGGGGAGAGGAGTCCTGCAGTCTCTAAGGGGGAGAGATCAGTCAGGAGAGGATTGTGAACTGCCACCATCCAGGGAGTAGCAGTTTCCCTTAAGCAGGAAACCAGCGTGGCTACTTGAGGTGGGCGGTGGAGGGGGAGCTTGTTCTAACATGGGACAGGAGAATAGTTGGCCTAGTGGCCACAGAGACCAGGAGACTGAAGCCCACAGACCATATAGTTGGCCAGTCTGGTTTGGAAATGAGGCATATTTCTTAGCATTTGCATCTTTTGAAATGACAAAGTTTTGTTTCTGCCATTTTTTAGAGTTTAGTTAAAAGTTACTTTTGAAAGTGCTATCTTGTTTTAGCTATGCTAAGGTGAAAATAAGGGACTTGAGTTTTGTGCACTCTGGTGCCAGAGGGAAGCCATGGTGGACACAGTGGAAACAGCAGAAATCAACCCCAGCAGGAAATGCAGAGGCTGCCACCACACGAGTCAGGGCAGGCCTCCTACCTGGAATTTCCTTTGGCTGGAGACCATCTTCTGGGCACAGACAGGATTTCCACACCTAACTGTTCCCATTTATGAACAAGCTAGGAGATCCTCCATTCAATCTCTACCTGGCCCCCTCCATGCACAGGCACCATCTCCATATTGGAGCTTCCTATGCAGATTTTATCCATGGACTATTTCAGTGGCTTGACAAGTACAATGTAAGGCCTCATCTTTCTTTCTTACAATGAACAAGTAGATGCCCTTGGGCTGAGCCCAGCAAGCTCTCAGCCAGGGTAAAGGCTGAGCTGAGCACCAGGAGAGGCCTTCCTGTACAGGTCAGAGCCCCGCATCCAGTTCTTCTCTAGGGATCTCCATCTGTTACTTACGTCGATAAGCCGCTGCTGGTCCTGCTCCGTCATCTCAGACAGCCTGTAATAGCGGCCGGCCAGGTCTCCCTTGAGGCCCTCCAGGGCCATGATGGCCACATTCTCCACCTCCCTCCGCTCAGCCCGGGTGCAGGCAGGTGGTAGGCTCAGCCCACGGATGCTGCGGCCTGTGCGCACCCGAGATGACAGCACATAGCGCTCATCGAACTGCCCTTGGGTGATCTGCCGAGCAGAGTGTGGGGTCAGCCTCTGACCACAGTCCTGCCACAGCCACAGTGGGTTCCAGTCCGCCATTCTGCAGTTTCCCAGGGGACCCTCAGGCACTGTGCACAACTGCACAATCCATAAGTTGGACACATTCTGGAAGTCTTGAGGCAGAGGGCTTCAACTAGCAAAGGGGAGAGCTGTTTTATATAGTGTGGTCTGAGGTCCTTGACCCTAACTGGGTGGTTTGGGATGAAAAAGGGAATAGCTTTGGAAAAGGTTTAAATTTCCCAATGACCAACCTTTCCCTAGTTGTATTTATTAAAGGAAACAAAGACATTGGGAACTTCCTAGCCTCTCCTCTGTGGCCCTCCAGTGGGGAGGCTCTGCTAGGGCAGTCACAGCACTTTCCAGGAGTATCTGACTCAGGGTGGGGAGCCCTTCTTTCCAGGGCTCCTCCCATTAGGCTCCGGAATGCCAGCCTCATGGGGAAGGAGAAGGAGGCTGGGGCCTACCTTGGATGCATCCAGATCAGTTGGGTGCTTCATCACCCTGGGGTCGTAGCCATTGTGTCTTAGTTTGATGACGGGGTCAAAAAGGTCAGCAAACACCTGCAGGAGGGAAGATGCATGTTTTCTCTTTAATTGGTTCACCTACGGTTCAAAGACCTTTCCATTCACTTGCTCTTTGTATCTTAAAAGCCAAAGTTGATGCCTCCCTCCTTTGACATCCGTGGGACTACCATATAGGAAATGGATGTGATGGATTGGTTAATGATAATAACAAGAGAGAAAACCTTTTGGAGGCATCTTGCCTCTTGAGACAGGGTGGGGCTGCTGAGTCCTGCCATCTTACCCTCCCCGAGTGATCTGCCAAAATCATTGCCATCAGACCAAGCAAGAAAATTCTCATGGTTAGGAATTTAAAGGGTTTCCTAGACGTGTTTGCCTTTGTGGGTTATAAGAAGCTACCAGATCGGAGGCTACAGTTTTATGCTCAAAGGGAAAGTCAGTTTCTAAAGGTTAAGCCACACATTAAATTTGTTGAAAACCTGGCTATGCCAGAAGAAAGTACACAGCAGCAGTTAGGGCGAAGCAGGGAACTCACCCTGTGAGGACCTTCCCCAGCCCAAACGATCTCATGCAAAATCTTATTTAAAAACAACAAAACTTCAGGCATATCCTTTGTTAAAAAAAAAAAAAAAGTATTAAAAGAAGTTGTAACAAAGCACCCTGCAGACTTTAGGAGCTGTGGAAAGTGGGGACGGCTTTGGGTCCAGAGAGCTACCACTAGCCTGGGACCCAAACTAGACCCAGGGTTGTACACTGCTATATATTAATGAGCCACAGGTTGTGTTTTTTTTCCAAGATGGCTCTCTCTCTTCTCTGGCTGCCTTTCTAGGGAACTGCCTTCAGCTCTCTGCAACAGAAGAACCCAAAGGGTGGACCTGAAGCAACAGAAGAACCCAAAGGGTGGGCCTGAAGGAGGAAGTCTGCAGGCATTTGCCTCGGCAGAGAGACTACTCTGTGGAGGGGATGCATGGTGGCTGCGTTCTGTTCCAGCCAACCACTCTGTGCTTCTGCACGGAGGATGACGATGGTGAGATCATAAGGTTTATCCAAGAGTCTTGGTGAATTCAGTAATCTGGGTTACAGTAATTGCCTAGTCAGTAATAGAGAATTCACTAATAGAAGTCGTAATAAGAGGAGAAGTCCTCATTTTCCTAAAGATTGACCCCACCCAGTAAAGCTCAGCCGCAAACACATCAGCTTCTAATGTCTTATTGGTGAATACATACCATTCAATTTCATTATTTCTGTACCACTCATCCCCTTGACAAGCTCAGAGAGTTCTGTCATGTAGTTCATTCCTCCACAGGGAGGGTCCTAGCACAGCAGCAAGGGAAGCCTTGTCACTGGAAGCTATAGACCTCATTGTTTCAGAAAGCATTCCAGATGATTCTTCTGGAGCTGGCTTCCCTTTATGGGAGCCCTTTTGGAAAAGGCAGAAAGTTGGCCCCATAGACAAGAGAAGGACCCCAGGACTGTGCAGTTCAGTCATATCCAGAGCATCCCTCCCACCCTAGAACCAGCAGCCAACAGTTTTACCTCGTAGGACTCCTCGTCACCAGCCACCATGCCCACAGTCTTTATGAAGGGATGTCCAGGGTTGTCCACTCCAGTCTGGATGCACTGGTCTAGGGTGTAGCCATTGGGTGTCACCTTGTTGCGAAGCTTGGCATAGATGGCAGGGGTGAGGCACTCGGCCATGCAATTGTTGTGCTTGCGCAGGTCTGGGTAGTCTGCGCTGTGTGGGGAGCGGGGCAGGCTGTTAGCCAGCAGCCCTCAAGGAAAGGAGCCATTGGAAGGACTTGGTGTTTGCCCATCCTTCCACTAGGCTCCCTAAAGCCAGTGGGCACAGGGATACTTGGCTAGAACTGCCCAGGAGTCGAATGAGTAAGCCAGGTTTCCAAAAACAGTCCCAGAGAAAGGGACCTGGCCCTAACAATCTCATGATGCTTGCTGTAGAAGCCCACAAACTGTGGCTCATGTAAAAAGGGATAAAGTGAACATAATAGGAGAATTAATTGAGATTGTATGCAGCCTCCATTTCCCCCAACCCAGAAGTTTTGGTAAAACATCAACCACAGCCACATTTTGGTCCCATAGGTTAGTAGTGGAGAGAAACCCTGCAGGTGGAACTGCATAGAAATCCATCTATTTCTGTCCTTTGTTTATCATGCAAGCTCTACGAGAGTAGGGATTTTGCCTTTTTGAGAACAGTCCCTGGCTCTTGAATCCAGTGTTCAGTAAATATCTGTGGGACTAATAGAAATAAAATTGGGTGCTATTTCACCCTGGGGTATGTACTGGTTGAGGAATAGGAGATTGAGGACCACCACAGCCTCAAATACAGGTCATGTCACCTCTGGAATTCCCAAGGTACATGGTGGTTGCTGGCGATTGATTCCCTCAGATCATGTCACCCCTGGAATTCCCAAGGTACATGGTGGTTGCTGGCAATTGATTCCCTCAGATCCTGATTTCCACAACAGACGAAATGTCTCTGAGAGACACTTCAGTGGTTTTCCTCGTCTCTCTTATCCACACCTGCCTAAGAGGAATTCTGCACGCCACTCAAACTCTGCTCAGCGCGTGGTGTCTCATCCATGGCAGGGTTCCAAGGGCTGAGAAAACATGTCCATTTTTACCCCCTCATGCCACTCCTCCACTTTCTCCATCTGCAGTGTATTTTAGAGCTGATACTTAAAATCGGTACTACAACAGAGGCATGGTTCGGGAATTAGGGGGCCTGGATTTGCATTTGGCTGCAGTAGCTATGTGAACTTGAGCACTGTTTAATTTTCATAGGCCTTCATTTCATCACAAGCTAGGATGAATAACAGATACTCCATGTAAAGTGCTCGTCATACATAAAAGTACTCCACAAATGTTAACTATCCCTATTAATACTATTCAACTGGATTGCAAGCTCTAGGCAAGAACAATGATGCTACACTTCTTTGTATACACCACGGGTCACAGGCTTAATGAGTCTCAAAACGATTTTCCATTTTACTTAGTCATCCTCAAAGGCAAAAAGAAGGAATCTTGCTAACAGTTTGAAGTAGGGGAAAGCATATTTCTTGCTGGCCTTCGAAGGGTTTTTGTTTGTTTTGTTTTGTTTTGTTTGAGATGGAGTCTCGCTCTGTTGCCAGGCTGGAATGCAGTGGAACGATCTCGGCTGACTGCAACCTCCCCCTCCTGGGTTCAAGCGATCCTCCTGCCTCAGCCTCCCAAGTAGCCAGGACTATAGGTGTGCGCCACCAAGCTCAGCTAATTTTTTTATATTTTCAGTAGAGATGGGGTTTCACCATGTTGGCCAGGATGGTCTCGATCTCCTGACCTCGTGATCTGCCTGCCTTGGCCTCCCAAAGTACTGGTAGTACAGATGAAAGCCACCCTGCCTGGCCTGAAGTTATTTTAAAGCCAAGGGGCCTTACCTTGCAGGGAATAGCCTGGGCTGCTCCCGGGCCTCGGCGCACACCTTCTGCTGGTTCAGCAGGTAACCAGTGGTCAGGGCACTGGTGCCCATGGTAGCAAACAGCAGAGAAGCATTGCGGCCAGTTAGCAACTTAGAAAAGATACTGGCCATCTTTCCTCTTGGATGAGTGTCTGGAAAGCAAAGAAGCTGGATTAGATAGCTTCATAGGATGACCCTGAGCCACAGCATAGAGGTCAATAGGCAAGAGAGAAAACTGCAGAAGCCATAGCCCAGCCCCTCTTTCCGGGAGGTAGGGAGGGAGGGGCGTGTGTGTGTGTGTGTGTGTGTGCGCGCGTGCGTGTGTGTGTGCTATTTCTTGCTTTTTTTCTTCATATTGCTTAGGAAAATCTGGATAGTTTTAGACATCAATGCTGAACTGTCTGAACTCCATGCCTTTTCTGTTAATATGATAAAAAAAATAAACCACAACAGAGGATGTCTTCTTCCAGCTGTTTGACAGACCAGATGCTCTTTTGAACTTTGCCACTAGACCACAACTAGACCCTGAACAGGATGGATTTCTGGACTTCTGAAAGGTAGGAGAAATTTCTGAGGACCACCCTCCCACTCTGCTAAAGTTGGGATGCCAGCAATGGGGATGGGGGCCGAGACTGGGATTCCCTCATTGGAGTAGGTCCTTTGAAAGAGGTTGAAGTGGCACAAAGTCAGCAGACCCCATCCTCTGACTCCCACCTGAAGCAGGCCTAAAAGCTCTCTGAGGAAATTATATTCAGTTTAGGCCCTCGATTCCTACAGATTAAGATGAAAGAACAAACTCCCAAAGATCACCAAACACACAATGAACAAGAGTCAACAGAAGAAATAACAGATTTAGACTGCTAACGACTGAAGATGTTTAGGACTGTCAAACAATAGTATAAATAAGCCCTCGATTGAATGTTTAAAGAACTAAGTGTGGAATCATAATTATGAGCAAGCAACAAGAGACTATTAAGAATGACCAAGCTGATTTGAAAGAATCAAATTAAACTACACATTATGACACAGCTGAACATAGAACAGATGAACTGGAAGATATTATCTTAAGAAATTACTCATAATATATCACAGAGAAATGAGAAAATGGAAAATAGATATAAATTAAGAGAGATGATGGATAGAATGTCAAGCTCAAATACACATCAAATTGAAGTCCCAGAAAGACAGACCAGAGAAAACAGAGAAGTCAAATTTGAAGAGGAATAACTGAGACATTTTTAGAACTGATAAAAGAATCGGTGATTCAAGAGATATAATCTAAGTAAACAAAAAAATTGACACTTAAACAAATAATAATGAAACTGCAGATTATTGGTGACCAAGATGTGAAAAGCAGTCAGAAAGAAAAGACACTTTATCTACAAAGAAATGACAAACATGAACTGATTTTTCAGTAATGAGCCCAGGTAAATAATATTTTTAGAACCAATAACTATTAACCTAGAACTGGGGGACTAGTCTAACCATTTTTTCAAAATGAGAGTGAAAAAACATATTGATAAAAAACAGATCAATAACAGGAATTACTAAACTATATGCTTGAGAAAGAAAGGAAATGACAGCAAAAGGAGAGCCTAAAATGCAGAAAATGGAAAAAGCATGTATAAATTAAATAAAATTTATATACTTATTTATAATACAAGTACTAAGCTACCAACAAATGATGAGAAACAGGATAAACATGCACAGACAGAAACCCTGCTGGGTCTGCTAGTGCCCCAAGATTAGAAGGGCCAGTTAGCCCTACAGTATTACCTAGCAGGAGCTATGCAACATGGCTCTTTGAGTAGAGAACAAAAGAGCAGGTACCTCTCAGTACTTACTCTCTGATGTTCATGATGCCCATATAAAGAGTGTATGGGCCAGCCACGGTAGCTCACGCCTGTAATCCCAGCACTGGGAGGCTGTGGTGGACAGATCAATTGAGGCCAGGAGTTTAAGATCAGCCTGGACAACATGGCAAAACGCTGTCTCTACTAAAAATACAAAAAATTAGCTGGGTGTGGTGGCATGCATCTGTAGTCCCACCTACTCAGGAGGCTAAGGCATGAGAATCACTTGAACCCAGGAGGCAGAGGTTGCAGTGAGCCAAGATTACACCACTGCAATCCAGCCTGGGTGACAGAGTGAAACTCTATTTCAAAAAAAAAAAAAAAGGAAAAGTATGGATTTCCCTAACATTTGGAAGGCCCCCAAGACTCAGCTGGAAGCTGTTCCAAGCTTAGATGGATTGATTGCTTCAAAGAACTTGCTGATGTGGAAGACTGTAGCTGAAAACCTGGGCTATCCAGTGAAGGATAAACAACTCTCCCAAAAAGTTGAACCATCATTTGGAAGCTTCTGCTAAACCTGAATGTCCCCACTAAAAGCATCAAAAACCTTGAAAACATTTGAGAAGTTGTTTATCTGCATTAGCCCAGGGAATTAGATTAGTTCTTCCATGCTAATATCTGCAAACAATTCTTTTAATTCTAAAGACAACATAAGTTACTAAGACAAATTAGTCATTTCTTGAAGTTGTCCTGGGGACTTGTAAAGACCCAACATTAAATCTGATCATGTAAACTTTGCTCCCTTACTAGATTTCAGGTTGTCTTGTAAGTATCCCTCCGAGAATGGATAACGGCTCTTCAAGGAGCTGCACCAGTGCTTCCTGGTCCTTGCATGCAGCAGGCAACACCAGCGCACATCCTTTGGGCTATCTTATCTACTGTCACACCCTCAAATCCACTTTCTAACTAGAGAGAGGCAATGCTGACACTCTAGAGGTTTACTGTCGAACTCACCAAAGTCAAAGAAGCTCTGCCCAGATTCTTTCCAGACAGTATGGGCCTAAACATAAGCCAGACATGGTCTTCCTAAGCTGACTGGAAGTACATTCCTTTCTGGGATTGACCCAAATAACTTGATCTTTTCCTTTCCTTAAATTGCCTATCCAGTGACAGGTGTTCAAGTCAGAGTCTGGGAGGATAAATCTTAGGAATCAGAGCCAAGAGGAAGGGGAGGGATTGGTCTCCATGAACAGCCAGGTGACCACTGGAGGTTTTCAAAGGTCTTCCTCGGTCTTCCTCCCTATAAGGGTGATGTGTGAGTGGGCATCTGGCTCAAAATATAATGTTTGACGTGTCATCTATATGTTAGTTCCTAGAAGGAACTTATTCTAATTAATTTAGAATTAGTAATTAATTTATTCTCAGAGTTCCAACACTGCCCTTGTATCTGAGCAACAAAGGATGATTCATGCAGATAATCCTGGGGAGGCTTTGGTCGAGACTAGCAAAGCAATCTTGAAACTGAAATTCCTCCGTGTCCTTGCTTTGATTCCTTAGAGAGAATTGATACAGACTCCAAGTTTTAGTGAAGCAAAGAATTCCTGCTTCCTTGACTCTGATTTTCTCTTGCCAGGACACAAAGAGGCATTGAATTTCACCCTTAGGCCTTAATTAGTAACCTTGTTTGTGAAATTGAAACAAAGGTCTCAGTGAAAGGCTGGCAATGGCTGTTCCATGCTCTCTGAAGACCCAGAATCAAGGCTTGCAACGAAATCACTTTTCCTCATGACTAAACTAAATCTCTCTTGCATGTTAAAAGTCTTTTAAAAGCTGTGCAGTCAGAACATTGCTTTGGCTTTCACATTTCCCTGTTACCTGGCAGGCCCCAAATGTTACACAAGCATTCTCTGCAGCTGTAACCACTACTCAGAAGAGGCTTGACTTGTTATTTGCACACATGATAACGTGGCATAAATAAGTAAAGCTGGGAAGATGTTTGTAAGGGGTTATCTGTGTCTACCAAAGCAGATAGTATTTAGTTTCCAAACATGGTTTTATAAGTCAGTATATCTTGTGCTACCATCAGGACAGAAGTTTGGAACAAAAAGAAATCTGAGGCTCACTTGCAAAGCTTTTTTAATGTTTTCAATTCCCTCCATGTTCTGGGCATTATTATTACATACTCAATTGTTCTGTTCAGAGATCACTAGGGAGAGGAGATGAGGAACCAGAGCAGCCAGGATGTTTCTCCCTGGGATAAAAGCTCAAGCATTCAGACAGCCTCACCGTGGGCTCCACTTCTGTAGCCAGAGGGGATTGCAAACAGCAGGAGCATCTCACATACAGCTTGTAGGAAGCACACATCTTTTCCCCAAATGTTTTGTTTGGTAGTTGGTCCTTGCTGGCTGATCCAACTTCCCCGTCAGCATATGATGAGCAGTTGAGTGAGATGACCACACTTCCAATCCTGGCAGGTACGGGTCTATACAAGGACCTTCTCCCAGGGAACCCTGGCTGCTAGATACCATAAGGCTGAGGGAATCTGCCTTCTCAACTTCGCTGCTGCCCATGTTCCTTCCCACCATCCCCTTCGCTCTAATTGGCCCTGTTTTCCGGCCTCACATCTACCACTGTGCCATCTTAGATCAGTTAAACAGCCTAGGAATGGCTTCTAGCCCAAGCAGGAAGCACAGAATTCATCCATCACCCACTAAATCCCAGGCACTGTGCTAGGTGATGATGATATGAAAGTGAGCAAAATAAACAGTTCTGTCCTGTGGGGGCTTCTAATTCATTTGTGGCAGACAGTCAAGAAACAAAATCATCATAGGTGGGGTGAGTGCAGAGAAGGAAATAAGCAGGATATCATTCAGGGAAAGTAGAAGTGATACTTTCAAATAGGCTAGTCAGGAGCAAAGAGAATAGAACAGCAAAGCCTCAAAGCTGGACAGATCTGGACTTGCCCCAGAACAGAAAGGAGGTCAGTGGGGCTGAAGCACAGGGAACAAATCACAGTGGACTGCGGGAAGGGTGGAGGGGTGGGGTTGAGGGGAGCCAGCTGCTCAGGGCCCTGAGAACACCGTAAGGAGTCTGGAGTTTATTCCAGTGCAGAGGAAATTCACAGATGTGCTTACAAGCAGGAGAGGAGCTGAACTGATTTCATCAGTTACAGGGGCAGCTCTGGCTGCCAGTGGAGAATGGCTTAGAGGGACATGTGCAGAATGGAAGCAGAGAGCAGTCAGAGAGGCCCTGGAGGTTGTCCCGTGAGAGATGAGGTGCTGAGACCCCGGTGAGTTGGCGAGGATGAGAAAGAATGTATTTGCACTCTGTTGTGGGGCAGAACTGACAGGTCTTGCTAATGGTTTGGAAATGTAAGAGAAAATCAGGGATGCCTGAGATTTCTGTCCTACAGTTGGTAGGGTGGTGAGGCCCTTAGGTTTTGGGGCCTGCTGGTATGAGAGCAGTTGGAGAGTAGAGGGTTGCTGGCAGAGGTGGCCCCAGGCCTCTCCCACTGCAGCCACTGGGATTCCTCACAGCTCTAGCCGTGCTGCGCCCTCTGCCTGCTTACCTGCTACCCTATCTCAGCTTTCCCATCCCGCTAGCTGCTGGGACTCTTTCAAAGGCTTCATAACACCTACACTGAAGGCCTGGCCATCAGGCCCCATTTCTGCCCAGCACCACTACAGAGACTGCTGTACCCAGTGGTGACATTGTGCCCTATGAACTTCCCCACATTCTCTTCAACTCCCAGATGACCTCAGATGTAGCTGCTCTCTCAGGCCTTCAGAGTACCTGTCCACCCAAATGAGTAATATTTGCATTACAAGGAGGAAAAAGGAGAGAGGAATGGGGAACCACTGGGTACCTGCTGTTGTCCCTCTTTTCCAGATGAAACCAGATACTCCTCTATGAAGTTAAGTGACTTGTGTCAGGGTTACACTGCTAGTGAGTGACGGAGATGGAATTTGAATGCACACCTGTCTGACTCCACCTCCCATGTTCTTTCTGCATGGCCACCAAGCTCCACTGTCCTTCCTTGCTCTCTGGGAGGTGGCAACCCTCTCTTTCCACCCACTTTCTGGATCTTGACAAGTGGTTCTGCCCTGCCCCAGCTGTCAAAGCCTGCAACCGCTGCAAAAAAAAAAAAAAAAAAAAAAACCTCAACACAAGTGCACTTTGGACCTCTGTCATGTGTTGATGTCACAGATGCTGTACTGGGCCTTTGACTCCTTGATATAAAGCCAGGATTCCTTCCTGGAGGCCATAAGGTGGACAGAGGTGGGAAGCAGTCAGGAATATAATAGACTGTCCAAAAGTGTTATTTGAGAGGCAAGAGGCAGGGTGAGGAGGGCAGTCGGTGGGTTTTCATGAAAAGCGATGCACGGCCGGGCATGGTGGCTCATGCCTGTAATTCCAACATATTGGGAGGCCAAGGCAGGCAGATCACTTGAGGTCAGGAGTTCAAGACCAACCTGGCCAACATGGCGAAACCCCATCTCTACTAAAAATAACAGAAATTACCTGGGCATGGTTGTGGGTGCCTGTAATCCCAGCTACTTGGGAGGCTGAAGCAGGAGAATTATTAGAACCTGGGAGGTGGAGGCTGCAGTGAGTTAAGATTGTGCCTGTGAACTACAGCCTGGGCAACAGAGTAAAACTGTCTCAAAAAAAAGAAAAAAAAATGGGGGATGCATGCTCACACAAAGGAATCCTAACAGAAGAAAAATGGCATGATCGGTTTCCTCCTATGTAGCACTGTGATGAAAGAACACCTTTCAGGTATGTGCCTTGATGGAGGAAGGGGGGCAGTGAGAGGTTTGAGGACAAGCCGCTGATAACCCTCATGTATCATCACAGTGGCGCCCTTTGGGAGCCTCCTCTAGTGAGCTAGTCCACTCTGGGAAGAGGAATTGTCTTATCCACAATTCTGTCTTCAACATTGAAATTCCTCTGGGCAAAGCCTAAAAGAGAGCTGCCTCATTTCATGTAACTATAGTGTATGTAGTGAAGAGGCTCCAATGTGTTTTCAAGGCAGTCCGAGAGCTCTTTCTGGAAATCCTAGGCTGATGACATCTGCATCTAATTCTAATTTGTCTTACAACCAGGCTGAGACCTTCAGCATCATCAGACTGTGGAACTGCTCAGGTCAGGACAGGCAGATAGAAAGGCCCACATGGATAGTGGTTCCTCCTCCCAGGAGGCCCACACCAGGAAGGGGCACGTGATGTTAATGTGAGGCAAGCAGTTATGTCTTGTGATTTCCATGAATTACACTAAGGAAGTTTATCTCACTTGGTTCGTGACTTCTGTTAGTGAAAAGTAGCTTGCTGGCCTATACTGTGGTGGACTTGCAGAAAACTTCCCAGCCACAAGGTTCAGGCAGAAGGTTCAGACATCTCCCCTGGTTCCTCCCCAACCCATTTAGTGTGAAACAAGACAAAGGGAAACATTTCATTCAATCTATTTTTGGGGAAAGAGGCAACTGTCAACTAAGATTGTATTAGAGACCAGGCATGGTGGCTCACACCTGTAATCACAGCACTTTGGGAGGCCAGGGCGGGCAGATCACCTGAGGTCAGGGGTTCGAGACCAGCCTGGCCAACATGGCAAAACTCTGTCTCCACTAAAAATACAAAAAAATATTAGCCGGCACGGTGGCACATGCCTGTAATCTCAGCCACTCAGGAGGCTGAGGCATGAGAATCGCTTGAACCTGAGAGGTGGAGGTTGCAGTGAGCCGGGATCACACGACTGCCCTCTTGCAGCCTGGGTGATAGAAAGTGTCTCAAAAAAGATCCTGTTAGGAATTTGATGAAAGCTCACACAGTTCATGCACACATCATTTGGGACCTGTCACGGGGCCCTAGAACATCAGGACACAGTAGCCTGCCTCACATTCAGCTGCATGGCGCTAGAGCCCTGCATGATCTCAACTTGAAAAACATGTATGTATATATACATTTGTGTATTCTACTATTAAATACTGTATATGACTTTTTAAAAGATTGGTTTGCTGTTTCTGTTTTGTGCTAATGCAATAAATCTTACTAATTTGTTTTAGAAAATGTTATTATTGTTTCTTGCTTCTTGTTGCCCCCTACAGTTTGGACTTTGTTGTCCATCTTTCCCTGCCTAATTGGACCACAGCCTGGTGCCTCAATCTCCACAAAATCTGTTCCCTTCTAGCTCAAGATGACAGCATTCTCAGTTCCCATGCACTCTCAGGCTGCTTATTCATTTGCCCTTGTGCTCCGTGCCTTTTTGGCATCTGCCGGCAAACTCAGTGTCACATATCTTTACCCTGTTTAACTCCTACTGTTTGCATTGTCTTCCCAGTGAGAGGGAGCAGGGACCTCGCTTATGGCCCTGCTGGGCCCCTCCCCTTACCCATACCCACCAACTGTAGAAATCAAGGATTTCTGTGTCCCTTTAAGTTCCCTTAAAAGAACTTCCCTCTCAGTCCCTTTCAGGGAAGTTCCAGGCACCTACCTAGTCCTGCAACCAGCAATTAGGGAATTTAAGGTTGATGACAACAAGAAACTAGGGGATGGGTAGGCAGCCTCTGTAAAACTGACAGAGGGGAAACCATGCACAGTGCCTGCTTGCAGTTGTGTAGTAGGTAGGGACTATGGCAAGGAGTCTCAGGCCAAGGATGTCATCAAAGAGTCCTTCAAACACAAGAAATGAACAAATAAATCTTTGGCTCACAAAATAAAAACCACCAACTTTTGAACAAAGTCTACTTATATGATGTGACATTTCTTTCAGACATGGACATTGAAATCCTATCAAAAGCCACCAAGTGAGACTGACAAGTCTGATTTTGAGCTGCTCTGTTTCCTGGTATATGTAAATTAGGGTGGCCCAGTGCAGTCTCCTGACCTTTTGACCATGACAGGCTGTATGAACCCTGGAAGCCCATGGTGCCCATACTCAGAGATTTTCATGTGTGACTCAGCAGACACTACCCCCCAGATAACAGACGCAACACTGCAGAGTACAGGGCCTAAATGTGCATGCCCTTCTGTTTCCTTTTTTTTTTTTTTAAAGGGTTCTGACTGAGCAGGCAGATAGGAAGAATCAGATGAAGAGCAAGTGCTAGGTGTTGGGGAAACATAATTTAAATTTCCTACTGCCCCAGAAACTTCTCTCCATAAGATATAGGAGAGAAAGGATTTCATTATTGAATAAACTTGAAACTAATGCTGCACATCTTTAGAATTCTGCTAAGGAAACTGCAAAGACAGAAAGGCATCCCACCCTTTATATAGGCAAGCAGACAGAACTCATTCATTACATACATGTTCCCAAACTAACTCAAGTCAGGACTTGGCAGCATCATTTACCAAGCATAATTCATCCTAAATTCACCTGGTAATTGGGGTGGCCATTTGTGTTCGCTAATTGCCTTTATGAAAAGGAAAAATAAAACAAGGTCCTTAAGTCTCTATGACAGCAGGTAGTTTTACAACTTGGAGCCAGGTGCTTAAATGAAACTACTACCCACTGCCCTTCCACTGATAGTGGGAGGTAGAGAGCTATCTTCCTTGATGTCTACATTTTCAAAGAGGTGTCTTCCAAGCCCTTGAAGAAAAAAGAGTCCTAGGTTGTAAAATTGACTGGAGCCTTACTTAGCTTTTAAAAAGATTTATATACATTTCAAAGGGGAGCAAAATAATTTACAAGTTTTCTAAAGGAAATGCTCTAAGAAAGAGGAGGAAGCTCTTTCCCTTTTTGCATGGGGTTGTGGGGGAACATTCTGGAATTCATGAAGAACGTGAATTTGGTTTCCTCCCCTCCTCCACGTGCTGGAGGGCAAAGTGTAAGAAGCTCGGCAAGGCTCTAATCAGGGGTGGATAACCACTGGGAATTCCACGCATCAAAGGGACAAGGGACAATCACTGGGTCCACTCTATGCTTCAGAGGGACAAGACCCAGTGAATGTAGAACTGGGCCAGTTTGCCTTGGTTCTCAAGCCCACTGGCCCACACATGACAGGATGAGTAAATGAATGTCAGGAACTTGAGAGACTAATTTAGAGGTCATTTACCTCAGCTGAAATTCAGGCATCCCTTTCTCTTAACCCTCCGTAAATACTAGCAGTGCTAGGGATCTCACCACCTGCCAGTGCAACCATGTTACTGTTGGATAACTGTAAGTATTCTGACATTTTTCATATCTTAATAAGGAGAGAAAAACAAAATCAGAGTACTTTCAAGGACTAGGTACTTTTTTCAAAACAATCCCAAGAAGCAGGCATCCCATGTCACAGAGGAGAGAACTCAAAAACAGAGCTGTTCATAGCCCAAGGTCACACAGCTAAAGGAAATTCATATGTATCGAGTGTCTGTTCTGCACCAGGCACTTATTTAATTAAAGATTCTGCTTTCACTCACAAGGATTCACCATGCAAATATGACAGACACCCTTTGTCTTCCAAGGAACGGAGCTGCCAGAAAGTTCCATCTGCTTCAGATCCTCCCTGGTCTCTCAGGGATGCTGAGTGTTTTCCCCTAAGCAGGGTTTCCAATAGGAGGATGCCAAGGAGAGGCTAAGGATGGGGCCAGATCCCCACAGCACACAGGTGTCATTCTGGGTGGCACTGAGGGGAAGCAGAACCAGGGGGTGGCCCTTGGGGCATTTGTTCACAGGAACACCACTCATCACAGACTTCCAGGCAGTCAGTGGGTGGTGTGAGTCAAGGGCAAGTGAGTGAATGATGCTGATATGTATGCTTCAGGTAGGGAGAAGCCATGGTGGGCAGCTTTGGAAGGAGGGGAAGGAGGAGAAGGACAGGAAGCGGGGGAGAGGGGGGAGGGGGAAGGGGGCAGGGAGAAGATGGAGATATGTATTTGTCTACTTATTCATCTGATGACTATTTAAGTACCTACTATAGGGCAGCTTTCCCAGAGTCCTTAGTCTGAAAGAAAAACCCTATGTGCTGAGCACTGGGTTCTATTAGTTTTATGGGTATTACCCCCATTTAATCCTCACAGTAGACCCAGGAAGTAGATGCTCTTATTTCCATTTTACAAGTAAGCGGACACAGGGAGAGAAAGGCAAAATAACTTGCCCAGGACCACACGGTTTGTGAGTGGCAGTGCTGGGATTCTGGGCAGCAGTCAGTCCACACTCTTAACCAGGGCCCTCTGCTGGGCAATTAGAAATTGTGTGTGATTTGTGCTCTACTTGGGGAGCCAGAGCCTGGTGAGGGGGTCCTGGGAGGTCATGGTCGGCTATGGGACAGACCATTGAGTGATGTTGTTTAGGTCTTAACCATACCAAAGTATCGCATGCCTCCAGCTGCCTTGAGACTAGGGCCACATCACACACTGCAGAGGATTCGAGTGGAAATGAGTAGACCGCTAAATGGAGGACCACAGGTGCCCACGTGCATGCATTCCTCCCTCCCAACAGCTGCTTTCCAGGCATCTTCCAGGTGAGGAAATGGCCATTGCCCTCAGCCCATAGCAGACTTAGCCTACCCTTGAATGCTGCTGAAAAGAAGAAAAGGGTAAATGTGTCCCCTGTTCTATTCCTAGGTCCAGATTCTTAAGGATGAGGACACAGCATCCTGGGCCACTGCCGCTAATACAAATTTGCCTCTGGAGGGACTCTACAGAAGATAATTCCCCTGAAATATGGAGAGTTGAATTAAGCTAGAACTGTTTCTGCCTGGAATTTGTGGTGGCTACTTACCCTAGAGGGCCTGAAGGAAACCCACAATTTGGGACAACCCTGACAGTTTCTAGAGTCTAGAACAGAACACCTGCTGCTACCAGGGATGGAGCTTAACATGGGCGAGACCAACCACCCAGCTCATGACCTGTGTACAGAGAAGATTACATTACAGCCTGAGAGCTAAGCCTGGAAGTTCTTTCATCCATCTGTTTGTCCATTCATCCGCCCATCCATCCACCCACCCACCCATCTGCTCATCCATCCATCCACCCACCCACCCATCTGCTCATCCATCCATCCATCCACCCACCCATCTGTTCATCCATCCATCCATCCACCCACCCACCCACCCATCTGTTCATCCATCCATCCATCTACCCACCCACCCATCCATCCATCTGCTCAACAAATGTCAGAGAATCAATCCCTGTGTCAGACACTGGGGCTGCCCTCAAGAAGCTTTTACAGAGTTCAGGGTACAGCCGGTAGGGTAGACAGACTACTGTAAAAACCTACCACTATAAAAAGGACAAGAGAAAAAATAGTAAAGAGGAGAGAAGGCCCAAATTTGCCTAGTGGGTCACAGAGGGCTTTCTAGAGGAGGTGAAAAAATCTGTGGGGCCATCACTTCACCTCACCTGGTGGATAAAGGGAGGACTTTCCAGATACAGTGGACAGCATGTGCAGAGGCAGGCGCATGAGTGGCAGTGGATCATGAAGGGCAGAGGCAGGGCAGGGACTGCAGAGACAGGCTGGAGCTGCAGCATTGGAGCCACAGCCAGAGGAACAAACTGTGAGACCTGGGACTTGAATTTGGAAGCAGTGAAAAGTGACAACAAGGTTCTTCATAAAAGAGTTATTTTATCCAACTTATGGAAGGTTGGCTCCGGACCAATGCTGTGGTCTGTGGGCTGTTACCAGTTCATGACGATGTAAGTAGAGGAATTGAGAGTAAGCATGTAGAACACGTGGAGTACTCTGATAGAGTCATTTTCGTTTTTAATTTTTGAGGTAGCATTTTCTATGCCTGTTTATTCTATTTTTCTAGTAGTTGCACTTTATCACATTTTACAAATGTGTGGGTCTGCTATGAATTAGAAATTTTGAAAATTGAAATTTTGAAAGAAATTAGAAAATGAGAGATTTTACCACAGACAGTGTGAGAAGCCCAGCATTGCCACTCAGAAACTGCTGGTGCATTCAGGTGGTGAAATATTCTGCAGCTATTAAAGGCATTAAAACTGCCTCCGCTGACCTGGATGTCCATCTGTGACACCCTTTAGGTGAAAAGGAAAAGGAAAATTTGCTTAGGACTGAATATGAGTGTTTGCAGTTTTGTAACAATGATGCATGCACATATACATTTTCATATATTTGTGTAAACATGAACATATCGAAAGATATTCATCAAACTGCTAAGACGGTTGCTTCAGAGCAACGGACTTGGAGAAGGCAGATTAATTTTCTCTTAATGGAGCTCTGTATTGTATCACTTGTAAAAATAAGCATGTGTCACCTTTATGAGAAACTAAAAACGTAAAAAGAAAATTGTGATGTGTGTTAAAATTTTGGATTTCTAGGCTCCACCTTTTTGAATGGGTCTAAGAGTGGGGCCATCACATGTATAGTGAGAAAAAGCTCCCTGAGTACAGGCTGTTACCAAGACCCGCTGGGTGTAGGAACCCTGCATGGTACCCACCTGAGGTACCTCTCTGCCGAGCTCCTCTCCATCATGGGTATAATGGAGTCTCCTTGTGGGGTGTCGTGAAGAAGATGGGACAGGCTGCAGTAGGCACTAAATAAATGTGAGTCGCTTCCCCCGATGACCCTGCAGCTATGGGATCATCGTCACTCCCTCCCCAAAGCCACACCTGATTTTTCCAGCCAGCACTGGTCTGTCCCTCCTCTGAATGCTTTTTCATTTTAGCTTACATTTTTAGCATTTAAATGTTTCATTTAATTTGAGAAGAAGTATCACTCTGTCGCCCAGGCTGGAGTGCAGTGACATGATCCCTGCTCACTGCAACCTCCACTTTTTGGGTTCAAGCAATTCTCCTGCTTCAGTCTCCCAAGTAGCTGGGGTTACAGGCGCCCACCACTGCATGTGGCTAATTTTGTACTTTTAGTAGAGATGGGATTTTGCCATGTTGGCCAGGCTGGTCTCAAACCCCTGACCTTAAGTGATCCACCTGCCTCAGCCTCCCAAAGGGCTGGGATTATAGGCATGAGCCACATGGCTGGCTTCATTTAATTTGTATTTTCTATCTCTCTGCAGACAAGACTTCGAAGGTGTCTATCACATACTTTCAGATCTCCTGGTTATCCTCCGAAAAGCAACATTAGGGTTCACAAAATGGATTTCACCAGTTGGGTTCCCCAGTTTTTCTTCCAGACCCCACCCCTCCAACAGTGTCTCCAGTGACTTTCTGGCATCACCAGACAGGTCCTTAACTTTGCCACCTCTGAGCCTTTGCTTGAGCATTTTCTTTTACCTGGAATATCCTTTCCAACCCTGTACACCGACTGAGTCAAACCTCTGTCTTCTTTTTTGAACTAACATTTATGAGCTCCTATTATGAGCCATGCATTATGCAAGGGGCTTTATAAACACAATCAGTCTTTGTAACAATCTTGCCAAGTATGCTTTATTATGTGCCTGGGGAAACTGAGGCTCAAGAGAAGTGACCTACCCCAAGTTTCAGCGCCAGCGCACTGGTAGAGCTGGGATTTGAACCCAGGTTTGCCTTTAGCCCTGGATTCAGCTTCCTTGCAGATCCCAGCACCTCACATACAGCCGTGCACTGAGCAGCAGTTGGAGGGAAACCACCCTTGTGGCTTAGGAGCTGTGGTGCCGCAGGTCACTCCACTCGGTCAAACCCCAAGAACATACAAGTACATTTACCACAGCAGCTCCTAGGCACAGGATTATCACCTCAGGCATATGACTTGCCCTGAAATCCTAGAGTTGCAGATTATAAACTCGTTCTCTCTCCCTGTCCTCAGGCTCCCCACGATGGAGTCCAGATGCCAGGGATATCTCTGCCTCTTCCACTCTGACCCCAGGTGCTCAATGTGCCTGCCAGGCCTTGCTAGGGATACTATGCCAGTGTGAGGAGGAAGGCAGTCTCCAGCTCTCACCCCATAGAAACTGTCTGCCTCAGTTTCCCTAACCTAGAACACTGCCATGACTCCCAATTTGAAAAACACCATTTATAGCATGTAGGCTAAAGCTGGCAGAACACCTGGGCTCCTAGCTAGGGAGATTGGGAGAGGGGGAAGTGCAAGGGCACAGCCAGACAAAGCCAAAAGCAATAATACTGTGTTTGGTCCACGAGCTGTACATGTCCTGGTCCCAGGCAATCATACTGGGAGTCCAGATCCTGGTCTAATGGTCTTCTCTGGTTCTGTGACATCCTAGAATGTGAAGGGGAGGCCCTGGGTTCTGTCGCTGCCTCCAGCCCAAGCCCCCTGCTCTTCCTGGGCATCATGGACGAACCATGTCTGCCTTTCTGCTGACTCAGACTTATTTCTGGTTCAGCCATTCACAACGTCTGTGTGTCTGAACTCCTCAGCCAGAGGGCAGGTGGAAGGCTGCGGGGAGGACCACGTGTCAGCTTTCCATCCAGAGAGCCACCCCAAAATAGAGGACGTCCTTGGGGTTGGACCAGCTCCACAGAACACTCTGAACAAATTCTCAAGATGCCAGGCTCCTAGGCCAGAAGAAAATGCCTGTCCTTTCCCAGTTCTAAGACAGCAAAGGGTTCAATTTACCTCACAATCACTGGGTGCACAGCCAACCTTAATGGGCACTCTTGGCATCACTGTTCTACTCAGCAAGTAGAAAGTCCTAGGCAGAAGATACTTAGAATCCTACTCAGTAAAACAGAGGCCTTTGCTAGGCCTCCTGTGATGAAGATATGGGATTGTTACCAGACTTGTTCCTCAAGGGTAATTTTTTTTTTTTTTCTCAAGAAAATGGGAAGCTAGGAGCCATCTAGTCCACTGAAGTGCTGTGAAGTGGGCTGCCTTCCTCCCGGCCCACGGGAGGGAGTCTCTGAGGTTTCCCAGGCAGGGGTCGGTATGACCTCCATGGTCACCTTCAGCATGGCTTCCTGCTGGATTCCTGGCTCTGTGGGCAGGAGCTCTCGGAATGCTCAACGCAGGCTCTATGAAGCTTCCTCTGGGAAGACAAATGGAGCCTGCTCTAGGCGATGGCAGAGATGGAGGCCCGGGGCCTCTGAGGTAGGGGCAAAGTCATTCCCCACCGTGTGTCTGAAACCTCAGGATTCCCCGTTCTGTATTGCCCCTGCCCCACTGACACCCATACACATGCACACGCGCACACACACACACACACACACATAACCCACGGTTTCCTTAGGATAACCGACCTGGCAATGGCCCATTTCCCAAGGATGTGATTTGGTCACGAGGCCAGCAGAGTCCATGGGGTGCCTGTGGCACTCCTGTGCTCTGCTGGGACAGTGTCTTAACCCTCAAGTGTGACTAACTCCAAAGTCTAGGGTCTTTGGAAAAGGTGCCTCTCAATGCAGAGGAAGGGAAGGGCTCAAACTGCCAAACAAGGCCCAGAGTCCTCGGGAGGAGCCCACCTGTCAGGAAACCTGTGGCCACATTCTGTGGCCGTGCTCGCTTCCACGAGAGGACAGAGAGACCAAGGACACGAGTTCAGAATGGAGAAAACGTGAGGGCCACAGACAGGAAAAGCAGCCCTTCTGGATACAACACACCAGTATAACTAGTGTAACCTTGTCCTGAGGCACTAACTGCCCCTCACTTGACTCCAGCTGACTGAGGGGTCACTGAGCCTGGTGACACTCTCTAGAAGGGGCAGCACTGAGGAGACCTAAAGGTTTGGGTCTGTTTGTCAAATGTCACTCTTCCTCAGATTCGGAGGAGAGCATCTGAAGGCAGACCACTCAACAGGACTGACTGTAACCCTGGCACAACCAATCAAGCTAGCAAAGAACAGGCCCCTGCCCAGATGAAACGCATGGGGCCAGTTCCACAGGGTTTTGGTTGTTAATTAACCTCCGGTGGGAAAGGTAAGGATGTGGGGGAGGGGGGACGGTTACTTGGCTCATTATCAATGTGTAAATATTAATGATCGCAAAAATGAATCTCTAGCGATATTATTTGCCAGTTTAAACTGGGCCTGGTTATTGGGCTTATTAGTAATTAGCGTCACCAAAGTTTTAATTTTCTGGTTAGTTTATCCCAAGTCACTGATTTACATGTCTTTTGAGACTGAGACTGCTGGTGAAAAACATTCCCGGAATGAGTGGATCAGACTCTGTAAATTACAAGGGAAAGATATTTGGAGTTTAAAGTTGTCCCAAACTTAGTGTCAAAATACAGCCTTTAGATGTTTTCTCTTTGTCCATCAAGAAAAATTCCTGATTCACGACAAAAAGAAGCCCTGCAGGCAGCGTGCTGATTTGTTCTGCTCCTCGGGCTGAGTTGCCCCAACCCAGGGAGGAGGGGACGCTTTGGCCAAGGGCGGCGCTCTGCGGGCTTTAGCGAGGCAACCAGCGTCCTAACGTGGTCCCGGGCCACAGCCCTGCATCCAGTCCGCCAAGGCCCCTCACACTGGCTCTAGCCATGCCGCCTCTTTGGAGGAATAAAACAGCGTTTCACCGACTCACCGACCTTGACGCCGGATTCTCCCACGTCCTGCAGAGCCCACACAGCCAAGAAGTGTCAGGGCAGCTGGCCGGCCGGCCTGGAAAAGCCTCCCTGGCGGGGCGGGGCTAGAGGACCTCGCCAATCCCAGCGCAGACCTCCCGTTGCACCGCCCCACAGCTGTACCCTTGAAGGCAGGCCCCTGAGCGCTGGGCTCTTTGCAGCACCTGCCGTTTCCCTGAAACGTAAACGGCCAGTCTTGCTCCCCAGGCCTGGTCCTGGAGGCTCCTCTGCCAGTGCTCTAAGAATGGTGCTTGGGTCTCTCAATGGAAGGGTCAGCAGAAATTGCACGTCTGTTGGGGGATTTCTCTCTTCTTTCAGGTGTACCAGCCTTGGGGTCCTAGTGAGCTCTGGAGGATGAACCCCTCAAGCCAAGGTCAGAGAGGATGTCTCAAGCTACCTGGCTCCAGCAGCTGACCGGTCCCCGAGCCAGGGGCCGGAGGGACCTCCTTCCAGCATCTTTGTCTGGGGCCGGGATCCAGGGACAATTACAGTCACATTTCTCTTCAAGATCAGGCCATCTGCAGTAGACGGCTAGATCATCTCGCTTTCTGTCCACACCAGCTTAACCCAAGGCAGGCCATAGCCCTGCTTAAAAATAGCCCTTCCTGGGATATCCATTGCATGCCAGGAAGGCTGCCTGTAAATAGCAATGACCCAGCAGGATTTTGGACAGCAGTCCTGCCATTTCAAGGGAGCCTACCTAGGTATCTGGTGACCGTCACGTACTCAGCTTCTGAGGCCACGTAGACATGACCAGCTGGTTCCTGTCTCCTCCTTCTCAGAGCCCAGCTCACGCTCAGAGGACTTGATGGAGCAGAGGGTGGGGCCCAGGAGTAACCTTTTAC